GTCTGTCCTGCAAAGGGTGAAATGAGGCTGTTCCTTGAGGCAAGAATTTTGAAGCTCCAACTTACGTACTGTGGGCATGTGGCCAGGAGGGACCAGTTCTTTGCAGAAGGACATCATGCTTAGAAGGGTGGAGGGGACAGTACTAGAGAGGATGAGGTGGGTTGACTCTGTGACTGGGGTATTGAAGGTAGGTGTGTCTGAGACAATGAAATTGGTTCAAGATAGGGCAGGGCTCAGGGCTGTTATACGTAGGGTCATTATGGATTGCAAGCGACTCAATGGCACATGACAATAATAACAACAAACAAAATACAATCAAATACAGTCACTTTCACATTTTTCTCTCTAATCAATTATTAATAAGGATATTTTGACAGTAAGATAAAGAAAAGTACCCTCCACTATAAAAGAACGTGCTTTCCTTTCCAGGAACATCAGTTTACTCTCTTCTTTATGGCTAGGAGTCTTTTTCAGCTCCTTAGTGTAGCACCTGGTTTGAGGTTCAAGGAGGTTATGTCCAATTTAGAATGTTTATGTGGTGGTAACCTAAATGAAAACCTTCAAACATGTGGTAGAAGCCAGAGACAAAATTCATTGATTTATTCTTTCTCCTGAGTTAGAGATAATCTTCTGAGTTCGAGATAATCTTCAGCTCCTCTCCTCTTGCTTAGAGCAGACATCACTCACCCACTTGTTGCCATGGAGTCAGAATCAACAGGTAGCTGACTCACCAGCAGGTTTTCAGAGGCTGTAAATAGTCTGGGAGGAGACTGACCATCTTTCTCCTGTAGAGAAAATCACCACAGAGGATTCAAATCACCTGCCTTTGGTTTGGCAATGAAAATCCTTATCCATTAGGTGACACTGTAAGTATACTACATGATAAATACATGTCTGATCAGGCCAAGATGAATCTATATTGAGGTTTATTTACTCCTGAGCAAGCCAAATAATATGAAACTAAAAACAAACCAAAAGAAAATCTTTGTTACCTAAACGTCCCTAAATTAGGATGGCATTTAGAAAAAAAGAAAAGCCCCAGTTCTAGAAAGGACTCCTTAAGAAGCTAGTAGTTTTAAACTAAGGTAGATGGTTTAAATTGTTCTAGCAGGGATCATACTCTCAAGGGATATCTAAAATGAAAAAAAAAAGTACTAATCTGGAACCTGTAGTAAGAAGTAACCAGTACTCAGCATTTGTGTAATGAATGACTATATATCTCTGTATACTCTCAATTTACTATCTTTTTACCACTTTCGGCAGTGGTGGAGGTGGTGGTGGTGATGGTGGGTGCCATCAAGTCGAGTACAATTCACAGCAACTCTATAAACAACATATCTGACCCTGTCCTTTCCTGTGTCATCCCTCACAATCTCTGACACACTCAAGCCCACTGCTGTAGTCACTGTGTCAATCCACCTGGTTTAGGGTCTTTCTCTCCTTTGCTATCCCTCACCTTCCCAAGCTTGATTATCCTCTCCAAGGAATAGCCTCTCATAGCAATATGCCCAAAGTATGTGAGATGAAGCTTTACCAACTTTGCCTCCAAGGTGCACTCTGGCTGCACCTTCTCCATCTTGTTTGTTCTTTTGGCAGTCCATGGGCCCTTCAACGCTCTTCTCCAACACCACAGCTCAAAATCATCACTTCTTTTTCTGCAATGCTTATTTATTATTCAGCAAGCAAAGCAAGTGATTGAAAAGACCATGGCCTGAATAATGTATAGCTTAGACCTTAAACTAATATCATCACTCCTTTATAATTTCTAGAGGAAATTAGCCTGAACACAGTCTTTCCCAATGCAGTATGTCTCCTGAGCTCCTGACTGCTGATGCCAGATGTACTGATTGTGGATCCAAGTAATATGAAGTCCTTGACTGGTTCAGTCTTTTCTCCATCTATCAAGATGTGAGTTTCCCATACACATTCCATCTTCTAGCTTCTTCCCTTTCTTCATCTACAGCTATAGCTGTTGAGTGCCTTCAAGTTAATGATTACTCATAGAAAACTTATGAACAACAGATCGGAACTTTGTTGTTGAGCCTATTGACAATCAGTTCATCTCAATGAGGGTCATTCATTCTTCTGCCGAGTTTTTACCTTTCTCAGCATAATGTATTTTTTTTCAAGGTCCCTCCTGATAACATGTCCAGGGCATGTGAAATGAAGTTTCATCATCCTTGTCACTAAAAATAATTCTGTTGTTGTTGTTGTTAAGTGCCGTCGAGTCGTTTCCAACTCATAGCGACCCTATGCACAACAGCTCTAAACCCTGCTCTATCCTGCGCCAACCGCACCGCCTCTGACACACCCATCCCGATTACCCCAGTCACCGAATCAATCCATCTCATAGAGGGTCTTCCCCTCCTGCGCTGTCCCTCCACCCTCCCAAGCATGATGTCCCTCTCCAAGGACCCGTCCCTCCTGGCAATATGTCCAAAGTATGTCAGACGAAGTCCCAGAATCCTTGCCTCCAAGGAGTAGCTTGGTTTAATCCTCTCCAAGATGAATCTGTTTGTTTTCCTGGCAGTCCATGGTACATTCAGTACCCTTCTCCAGCACCACAGCTCAAAAGCATCCACTGTCCTTCTGTCCTCCCTAGTCATTGTCCAACTCTCTGAAGCATAACAAGCGATTGCAAATACCATGACCTGTATCAGGCGCACCTTAGTCTCCAGAGAGACACTGTTGCTCCTGAGTACCTTTGAGAGGTCCCTAACAGCAGACTTTCCCATCGTGATACGCTTTTTGATTTCCTGACTGCTGGTGCCAAGAGTGTTGACGGTGGAGCCGAGCAAACTGAAGCTGTGAACACTCTCAATCTCTTCGTCATCCATCCTGACGTTGCTAATTGGTCCAGTGGCGAGAATCTTTGTCTTCTTGACATTGAGCCTTAGTCCATACTGAAGGCTGCAGTCCTTGATTAGCTGCACTTAATCCAAGAGAGATTTGTTTGTTCTTGTACATTCAGTGCTCTTCTCCAAGACCACAACTCAAAAGCATTGATTGTTCTGTCATCCTTAGTCATTGCCCAACTTTCAAGTGCACAGGAAACAATGATTGAATCAGATGCACCTTAGTATTTAAAATGACATCTTTGCTTTTTGGCACTTTAAAAAAATTTCTATAGTTTATTGAGGTTTCATAAAAGCTTATTTTAAAATCCTCTCTTCGTTTTTTAAAAACTTATTAACCTGAACAACAACATGCTTATTGTTGCTTTGTTCAGAATAATAAGAGATGGAAACAAACAAATTAATAATAGAGAAGCTGTGGTGTATTCACACAATAGAATACTATGCAGCACTGCAAAACAAGGAACTGATAAAATATTATACAAAATGGGTGACCCTGAAGGACACTATGATGAGTGAAATATCTCAGTCAAAAAAGGACAAATATTACGTAATGCCACTGTTATAAAACAGGACTGACATAGAGGCTGGGGGGGGAACTAAGAAAAGAGGGGATAAATAATGTACACTGCATTGAAACAGATGAAGGCAAGAATTGTTTAAAAGGAATATATGATCAAGTATTATTTGCATGGCAACAGTCAGAATAAGAGGTGTATAGTAAAGTGACCTGAGGGGGGGTAGGAACTGTGGAACAATAAACTTTTTTTAAAGCGAAAAGTGAACTAGTGGGGTAAGGAGGAAAATGTGCAACAATGAATAAATGGAAATCAAGTTCTCTGTAAACTTTTGTTAAAATATCATTTTTTTATTAATTTCAATGAATATTTACAGATATTTTGTATTTCCATTCATTCATTGTTGCACTTTTCTCCCCGCCCACTCCACCCCACCCCAGTTCGCTATTCTCCTTGAAAAGCAAAAGAAAAACTCCTTCATTGGTATGCAATCCCCCCGCACCCGCCTAACCCACCCCAAGTATACTCCACTCTGCGACCCTCATTCTGAACTCTTATGAGAATCATAATGCCCTAAGGTATATTGCTTTTAAACTGTTCTCTTCCTCATCGGCTTCAATGCAGTATACATAATTTATCCAGTTTTTCTCAGTCTTACTCCCACCCTGATGTCAATATTTTTTAAAAGACTATAAAAAATAAAGAGATCCTTCATAACATATTTTCCCAATGCAATAATAACTTTCTGATTTCCTGACTACTGCTACCATTGATGCTGATTGCAAAATCAAGTACAATGAAGTCTTTGGCAGCTTCTTTTGTCCATCTATCATGATATCTACCAGTCCAATTATGTTCTTCCCTTTTAGTTTTCTAACTCCAGCTATTTGCATATTTCATTACAAAATTTTGTCTTTTCAAGCTACCCTTTGAAATCTTCTTTCATCTTTCTTACTTCAGTATTTCATTCCTTTGCTTTGGACTCTCATATTCTAGTGTAAGTTTCAGAGCTTCTTTTGACATCCATTTTGATCTTTTCTTTCTTTCCTGTCTTTGTTACAGAATGACCTTTTTTATTTTCTTCATGGATCATGGCCTTGATGTCATCCCATAACTTATCTGGCTTTCAGTCATTGTTCCATGCATCAAATCTATTCTTGCAATAGCTTTTACATTTAATTGGGATAGACTCAAGGTTTTATTTTTACTCTTTTGGACTTGATTTTATTTTGTTCACCCTCAATTTTGGCTTTCACAAAAGTAATTGATGATCTGTTCCATAGTCCGTCCCTGGCCTTGTTTTGACTAGAGCCTCTCAATCAACTCTTTTCACAGATATGCTCCATCTGATTCTTGAGTGTCTACCAGGTGTGTATAGTATATAATAATTTTGTTTATGGGGACAAAAAGAGAAATATTAAGAAAGGATAAGAGCAGAAGAGAAAAAATAGCTATGTTCTAGAATAAGCCTTTACATTGCATGGGGGTCTCCCCATCGACAGAGTGGGCAGAATGAAAGAGGCCTTCATTACCCTAACTAATCACTTCAGAGATCAATACAATGGATCAGGGTAATTTGGTCCTGTGAGTCAAGACAGTAAAAGAGAAACATTTTTTCTCTGTTTAGATGATCGACATGCTGTATTTTGTGGTCATCATGCTGGTCGTGCTGATGAGTTTTGGAGTGGCCCGTCAAGCCATTCTGCACCCAGATGAGGAACCTTCTTGGAGACTAGCCCGAAATATCTTCTACATGCCCTACTGGATGATCTATGGCGAGGTGTTTGCAGACCAGATAGACCGTAAGAATAGAATTCATAGTAAGATTCTCTTCCCTGCTTCAGAGGCAGATGATCAGCTCCAAATTAATGGACAAATATGTGTTAATTTGGACGTAAAGTATTTTTCATCCTGCCACCAAACAGCAAGTTATTTTATAAGAAATGAATTTAGATTATAAGACATAGATGTTAAAACATCAGTCCTTTCTTTTACTCTAAAACCTATTAACTAAAACTCTAAGTTTCATTTTCCTTTAGCTGGACCTGGTAAATAGTCCATTGGACTAGTGCAGTTTCAATGTCAATATCCTAGTTCTTCTACAAAATCTCACTATTTCCTAGGATAGCGATGGTTATTTTATCCCAATAGAATGAAATGGTGTGCATGCATACAGGATAACTTGACCCTCACATTATATTTCTTTTTAAGCCATTAAGTCCATTTTCGACATAGCAATCAACTTCCTCTTCACTACTGAAGTACTATTTTTCTTATTAACAATAATCTGGATGCTAGAAGAGGAAATGAAGCACAATTGTTCATTGGATTTCCAGAGACTGTAGACTCCAGTTGCCTTCCCACTGAGATAGTAGGTTATGATCTCTTATGTTGCAAGGAAATGAGGCTCAGTATTCCTGTGTCTAATTAGAGACAGACACCAGCACCATCATCAAGTGATGAGGAGTCCATTTTCATGTCAGTATCAACATTTTTATTCTCATGTTTATACTGTCTCATAAAACATCACACAGACTAATGTACCTACTGCTGACTTCTCCTATTTCAGAACATAAGAGTTTGAAGATCCTGCTCTTGTGTAAAACTGAGATCATTAATACACTCTTGCTAGGTTAGATTGGTAACTAGGTCACACAAAACAGTCTTTGCAGCTTTTATTGATGCAATGTGAGCACATCATTATTACCAGTTCAACAAAACCAATTACTAGATTTTAAGCTTTGTAAGCCAGAACATAGAACATAAAAGTTTAATTTTATTTCAAAAGAATACTAGCTTGGGTAAATGTAAATACATACAGAATGCTTTGATTCCCATATAAGTTATAGCATTTTGTTGTTGTTTAATTATTATTATTAAATTCAGTAACTATAGACCATGATGGACTCAAAGATATACTATATCCAATAACATCTTTAAATGTAGGTTTTCTTACATCGATATTTTATATCTGTTTTTATGACATGTTTGTGTTGGAATATAGGAAATGTTTTGTTCAGTAAACTAATCTGTAAAATGATCATCTGCCAGTAGCATCATGCCTTTTTCATAGCATTTTTTAAACTTAAATTTTGCTATTTCTTATAGCATGGTAAAATAGATATTCATAAGATATTTTTCCAAGATTAATTATGCACACAATTTTCCCAAATAGATCTGTTTCTAGCCTAACTCTATAATTCCAACAATTGAAATATTTTCATTTTCTAACAGTAAAACATTTTTTATGTTGTTAGATTGTTTGATTTATTTTTCTCTTAACTGTCCTATTTTTTTCCTTTCCTCCTCTCTTGTCACAATTGAAAAATAAAAATCCTGCTTTCCAATTGCTGCATAGTCTATGCCATGGAAATAAATCGTAAGTTGGCATTGAATTGATGATTCTAGTCTGTGAAATATGTTATTAATCATCTTCTTTCTTATTGGATTACTAATTGTCTAGAGTAAATTTCAAATATTTCTTTTTTTCTGATGTCAATGCTTTTAAAACTCACATAAAAGTAAAGCAAACAAACCAAACTCAGTCCAGTCAAGTCTATTCTGACCCTTAGTTTTCTTATAAGGGTTTCTGAGAGTTTAAATCTTTACAAAAGTAGACTTTCTCAGTTTTCTCCTGTAGAATGTCTGTTAGGTTCAAACTACTGACCTTTTGGTTAGCAGCCAAATGCTTAACCCACTGTACCACCATGGCTCCTTCCATAAAAGTAAGCATACAATAAATTAATGAACATTATTTTATTAACCATTATTGAAAATTTTTTATTATTCCATTTTATCTCCATAAAATATATTTCAAATGAGCAGAGAATGGATGGATTATGCTTTAATGGCATCAGAAAGAACTGATGTACTGATTTGAGAGTAGATCAAATCATGTAGATGAGAGTTTGACCTCTACCTCACACTAATAGAAAAATTCTTTTTAAAGTGATTATGCAAACAAGACTAAGAAAACATAAGCAGGTGTTAAATCTTGAGGAGTATAAGCATTAAAGGCAACAGATTCATCCTAGAGAGGGTTAAACCAGGCTACTCTTTGGAGGCAAGGATTCTGGGGCTTTGTCTGACATACTTTGGACATGTTGTAAGGAGGGACAGGTCCTTGGAGAGGGACATCATGCTTGGTAGGTTGGAGAGACAGCGCAGGAGGGGAAGACCCTCTATGAGGTGGACTGATTCAGTGACTGGAGTAATCGGGATGGGTATGTCAGAGGCAGTGCGATTGGCACAGGACAGAGCAGGGTTTAGGGCTGTTGCACATAGGGTCGCTATGAGTTGCAAGCGACTCGACAGCACATAGCAACAACAACAACAACATACACCATCCTGTAATATCAGTAACAGCAATAATCTATAAGTTAATATACAGAGAAAGCTGAACAGGTGTGTCAAGAAAATTGCCACTACACCCATGAATATATAAAAGTTTGACAAAAGATATTTCAACACATACATTTACATATGTTGCAAATATATCCATAGATATAGTAGACCATATAGGGACAAAATTTTGAAAACTTCTTAGTGACAATCAACACCTTGAGGGAATAAGTTTCCGGGCCAGGTCCTAAGCCTCATGGAATACTGAGATCAGCTGGCACAATGAAGTCCACAAAGAAAATGTTCTATATCTTTCTTTGGTAAGCAGCAATTCATGAGCAGCTAGCTATCTAAAGAGAACTATAGGTCTCTCCCCATCCAAAGCAAAGAAGGGAGAAGAAAATCAAAGACACATGAAAATTACTAGTCCATAAGATTAATGTATCATGCAAACCTTAGTTGCCATGACCTGAGACCATAAGAACTAGATGTTGCCCATTTACACTATCAATCACTGTATAAGGAATAAAATTAGAAGGTCTTGAATAGAAAAACAGTAAAACAAAATTCAAAATCATAAGGGGAAAAAAAAACCTCACTTACTGGTCATATAAAAATTGGTGGAACTACAAGAATATGGCCTTTAGTCACCCTTCAGGCCCACCACTGAATGAACTCACCCCTTGGTTCAGTTCTTCACCAAACAATTGTCAAGTCCAAAGGATGCACATCCACACTAGGTAAGTATATACACCTTAGAATAAACAATCAATTGAGAGAGATCAAAAGGGTAGCATTTATCCAAGGACTTAGTTCCGAAGGCAGGAAGGGTTAGGAAAGAAGGACAAATGGAAACAGGAAACAGAGAGGAAGTGGGATGGATGATATTACATTGAAGACTTTGCAACTCATGACATGAAACAAAATGTGTATGAATTCTTTTAATGGAAAACTGATCTGCTCTGTAAAGCTTTACCTAATTAACAAGAAAAAGTTTAAAGAAATAAACAAGAAACTGAGGAGCTCTGGTACCTAGTGCTAAGAAGCTGTGCTGCAATCCCGAAGGAAAGTGGTTTGAATCCACCAACTGCTCTGCAGAAGAAGGATGGGCATTCTCCTCCTATGATAACTGCCTCTGAAGACTTTCTGGAGGGCCAGCTATTGGTTGGTTCCAACTAAAAAGCACACAACAACAACAAGAATCAAACGGGGAAAAAAGGAAAAGGTCAGTTATTATGGAAATAAATGGAGCCAATTTGGAGAGGATTGTCCAGTTAAGTTCAGCAAAAGGAAAGGTCACTCATTTTTTTAAAATTTCAAAACACAAACCTCATTGCTGTCAAATCAGAGCTGATTCAGCTGACCCTCCAGCCAGTGTTCAGAGGTTGTAAAAAACATAAGAGGAGATTTCCCATCTTTCTCCTGAGGAGCTTGGTACATTTGAATCATCAGAAAGGCATTGACTCTGGGTTAGCAATACAACACTCTATGGGCTATACCACTAGAGTTCCCTAAATCCATGCAGTAATATTGAGTCACTTGCCTATGTAAGCAGTCACCCTGTAGGGTGACTATAGAAGCTGAAGGGTAAACCTTAGTATAATCAAGAAAAGCCTGGAATGGAGCCAGCCTTTGGATACTAGCTGTCTGCTTTGAGAACCTCAGGACTAAACAACAGAGAGAGCTGTAAGACACAGGTGGCAGTGACAGAACAAGGAGACAAGCACAAGATGAAATAGTAGGCTTCCAGTAAAAGTCTTGTTGACCCACAAAACAAGTGAGTTGAAGGTCTTCAGGTATATGTTAGCTATGAGGCCATAGGTTTATTGTTCAAAATAGCTTTCCTAGCCATTGACTCTGATTTTTACCATTGACTGGGTGAAACCATGAAATAGAGTTTGTATAAAAGACTTGTGATGAGTTTGGTCAGTTTTCCCATCCCACTCAGTTTACACAGAGGAGTTTTTCCAGCAAAAGATTGGTAATCTCACTACTAGCAATGAAGAAGACTTGGAGAATGCAGCCCATGTCCTTAAGGGGCTCAGAGATTCCTGTGCCAGTCAGACTAGGATGTACACAAGAGCAGCACAGCCTCAGCATAGAACAGAGACCAATGCAAGACAGTTGACTTGGGACTGCTGCCCCACAGCCAGAGCCAGGGGCCTTTGCCCAAACTTGTTGGAGGACTCAGGGAAGACACCACAATTGGTAAGACCAAGAGAGATTTGTGACATTAACTAAAAGCTCCAAAGCTGAAGCCTGAAGGGTCTTTGAACACAGCTGGGAAGCTGTTCTGACTGAGGAATTGTATTCTGCTGCCAACCTGAATTGTAACATATTAACTTCTCTAATACACTCCATAAGTGTGAGTATGACTCTGTGAAGTCTGAGTAGCTATTGCAAAAGATTTTTGGCCCCACTAGCAGTATAATAGTACAACTGGTAATGGAATTAGTGGAAGCAGGCATAGGAGTATGGAGGCCAGGTCTGATCTTAGAGAAATTAGTTTTGTATTACAGATGGAGACTGTTCCCCTTTGTGAAGTTAAGAGAAGTCAGATATGGCCATCCCCATGCAGTCCTCACTCTCTTTACAGGAGCTAAATGTGCTGTAACATTTTCTCAAGGAAGGAAGGTATAGGCTGAAAATGGACCTCTCCTAAGACGGCTGAGAGAGTGCTGTTCTGGGTGGGCCATGAAGAGATCCATCCTAAAGTCTAAGAGGGAGCTGAGAGGGAGCCTTTGCAACCATCAGATAGAGGGGAAATTGTCCTATACAAAAGAATGAAGGAATGTCGATTACATATGTGGAAAGAACCGCTGGAGAAGCTCAATATCAGCTGTGAAAACTAGGCCAGGAGCTGATTGTGGAACAGACCACCAACTACTCATATGCAAATTCAACCTAAAGCTGAGGAAAATTAAACTAAATCCGAGGCAACCAAAATATGACATTGAGTCTATCCCACCTGAATTTCAGAACCATCTCAGGAACAGATTTGAGGCTTTGAACACTAATGAACGAAGGCCAGATGAGTTGTGGGAGGATATCAAGGGTATCATCCAGGAAGAGTGCAAACGGTCATTGCAAAGACAGAAGAGGAAGAAAAGACCAAAATGGATGTCAGAAGAGACTCTGAAAATTGCACTGGAGCGCAGAGAAGCCAAAGCACAGGGAAGAATTCAAGATACTAAATAGTTAAATAGAAGATTTCAAAGGGCAGCACAGGATGACAAAGCAAAATATTATAATGAAATGTACAAGGAGTTGGAGTCGGAAAATCAAAAGGGCCGAACTCGCTCAGCATTATCTTAAGCTCAAGGAACTGAAGAACAAATTCAAACCTCGACTTGCTATAATGAAGGATGTTTTCAGCAGAACGTTAAATGATCCCGGAAGTATTAAAAAAAGATGGAAGGAATATACTGAGTCACTGTATCGGAAAGAATTGGAAGACACAGAAGAATTTCATGAAACAACATATGAGCAAGAGCCTATGCTGATGAAAGAAGAAGTTCAGGCTTCTTTGATGAACATGGCCAAAAATAAGGCTCCAGGAATAGATGGTATACCAATTGATATGTTTCAGTTAACAGATGCTGCCCTGGACGTGCTCACCAAGTTGTGCCAAGAAATATGGAGAACGACCACTTGGCCAACTGACTGGAAGAGATCGATATTTGTTCCTATCCCAAAGAAAGGCAACCCAACCGAATGTGGAAACTACAGAACAATTTCACTGATTTCACATGCAAGCAAGATTTTACTGAAGATTATCCAAAAACGACTGGAACAGCACATCAACAGAGAACTACCAGAAGTCCAGGCTGGTTTCAGAAGAGGTCGTGGTACTAGAGATATTGTAGCTGATGTTAGATGGATCTTGGCTGAAAGCAGGGAATACCAGAGGAATGTCTATCTGTGTTTCATTGACTATGCAAAGGCATTTGATCATAACAAACTGTGGCTGACTCCGAGAAGAATGGGAATCCCAGAACACTTGATCGTTCTAATGCGAAACTTATACTTGGACCAGGAGGCAGTCGTCAGAACAGAGCAAGGGAACACTGCATGGTTCAAAATTGGGAAGGGCGTACACCAGGGATGCATCCTATCTCCATACCTTTTCAACCTATATGCAGAACAGATTATCCGGGAGGCTGGGCTCTATGAGGAGAAATGTGGGGTCAGGATTGGCGGACGATTTATCAAAAATCTGCATTATGTGGATGACACAACCCTGCTTACTGAAACTGAGGAGGACCTGAAGCGCCTGCTGCAGAGTGTTAAGGACTGTAGCCTACAATATGGATTGAGGCTCAATGTCAAGAAGACAAAGATTCTCACCACTGGACCAATTGGCAGCATCAGGATGGATGGTGAAGAGATTGAGATTGTACACAGCTTTAGTTTGCTTGGCTCCATAGTCAACAGTCTTGGCACCAGCAGCCAGGAAATTAAAAGGCGCATTGCCATGGGAAAGTCTGCTGTTAGGGACCTCTCCAAAGTGCTGAAGAGCAGTGGTGTCTCTCTGGAGACTAAGGTGCATCTGATACAGGCCATGGTCTTCGCAATCACCTGTTATGCATCAGAGAGTTGGACAATTACCAAGGAGGATAGAAGGAGAACTGATGCCTTTGAGCTGTGGTGCTGGAGAAGAGTATTGAGAATACCATGGACTGCTAGAAAAACAAATAGATTTGTCCTGGAAAGGGTTAAACCGGGTGACTCCTTGGAGTCAAGGATTCTGAGGCTCTGTCTAACTTACTTTGGACATGTAGTGAGGAGAGACCGGTCCTTGGAGAGGGACATCATGCTTGGGAGGGTGGAGGGACGGCACAGGAGAGGAAGGCCCTCTATGAGGTGGACTGATTCAGTGACTGGGATAATTGGGATGGGAGTGTCAGAGACAGTGTGATTGGCACAGGACAGAGCGGAGTTTAGGGCTGTTGTACATAGGGTCGCTATGATTCGCAGGCGACTCGACGGCACTTAACAACAAGACCTCTGTGCTTCCTGACAGTACCATATAATTGTGAGTGGGTGTTAAAAATTAGAAAACACAATAGCCTTCTAATGGATAAGAGTATTAAACAAATAACTTCTTTATATAAAAAAATGCAATAACACCAAGTCAAAATACATCAGAGATGTAAATATTAGCAACGAAGATGATAAAATTCTTTCTCAAAGGCAGCATTCTATTGTATGCACCATGTTTAGACAGTCATCCTTTCATTGAATGCTACACAATGATAAAGAGTAATAATAATGAGCCCTTGCAACATTTTATAACGTGAATGAATCGGAAGGCTATTCTGCTGAGTGAAAAAAGTAAATCACAAAAAGATATTGTGTGGTATCACTTTATAAAAAGTTAACAATATGTCTGCACAACAAAAAGCAACATTCATTGATGGTTACTAGAGATGAGAAGAAAAGAAAGGGAGAAGAACTTACTAGACACTTGTTACATGCCATCATTGGAATTGACTCCTACTTGACCCTCCAGTGGTTTTCAGAGGCTGTAAATAGTACAGGAAGAGCTTGCCTATTTTCTTCCACAGAGTGGCTGGTGGAGTCAAACAGCCTGCCTCTGAGTTGGCAGTACAACTTCTGGTGAAGGAAAAGGCAAGAGACAATATGGGGAACTTAGCACAATGTGAACCAAGGTAAATTAAGACACTGACAAGTGTCTTACTTGACAAGTGTCTCACTACACAAAAGACAACTATGGTAAATGTTGTAACATTGACAATTCTGCAAGAGTGATGAAAACCAAAATTTATGAGTGACTACACTTGATCGTGCTTATATGAAATGTATATATGGACCAAGAAGCAGTCCTCAGAACAGAGCAAGGGAACACTGAACGGTTCAAAATATGAAAAGGTGTGCATCAGGCATGCATCCTGTCCCCATACCTTTTCAATCTGTATGCAGAACAGATCATTCGGGAGGCAGGGCTTTATGAGGAGGTGTATGACATCAAGATTAGAGGATGACTCATCAACAACCTACAATATGCAGGTGACACAACCTTGCTTGCTGAAACTGAATAAGTCCAGAAGCACTTTATGCAAAAGGTCAGACTGTAGTCTTCAATATGGATTGAAGCTCAACATCAGTAAGACAACGATTCTCACCACTAGTCCAACTGGCAGCACTACGATAGATGTAAAAGAGATTGAGATTGTTAGCAATTACAGCTTGCTCAGATCCACAATCAATACTCTTAACACCAGCAGTTAGGAAATCAAAAGACAAACTGGGAAAATCTGTTGTCATGGACCACTCCTGAAGAGCAACAATGTCAGTCTAGATACAAATGTGTGCATGATCCAGACCATGGTCTTCTCAATTACTTGTTATGCTTCAGAGAGTTGGACAATGACTAAGAATGAGAGAAGAAGAATAGATGGCCTTCGAGTTGTGGTGATAGAGAAAAGTCTTGAACAAGAAAACAAATTGGCCTGTCTTTGAGAGGGTGAAACTAAGTCTCTCCTTGGAGGCTAGGATTTTGAAGCTCTGCCTCACTTACCCTGGGCACATGGCCAGGAGAGATCAGTCTTTTGAGAAGGACATCATGCTTGGAATGGTGGACAGACAGCACAGGAGAGGAAGAACCCAATGAGATGGATTAATACAGTACCTAGGGCAATGGGGGTAGGTGTGTCAGAATCAGTGTGACTAGGGTCAGAGCTGTTGTAAGATTTATAGGATCGTTGTAAGTCGCAGGCAATGGCACATAACAACAACAGCAACATAAAATAAACAATAACACCTGTGAGTAACATGTTCCTGTGAACAATTACCCCAACAAGATTTTCCTAAAGGAAAGATGCAAAGGCAAGGAGGTATAGGAAAAGTGAGACAAAGGAAAGGTAAAGTAGAAATGGGGAGAGTGCTGATACATTGCTGGAAGAGCAACCAAAGTTATTGAGCCATGTATGTATCAACTGAAGGGGAGATGAATTTTCTGTGCAACTTTCACCTAAAACACAATAAAATGTTTACAAAATGAACTGTAAAAGTATACAGAGTAAACAAATAGGAAAATATTTACAAATATGACAAATTAAAAGCAGCTATCCACGAGTATAGGGAGCTTTGGTGACCAAGTTGTAAGAAGCTGTGCTGCCAGCCCAAAGGCAGGGAGGCAGAATTCATCAGCTGTTCCAAGGGAGAAAGATGGCCAGTCTCCTCCCATGAGATATATTGTTGTTGTTGTTGTTATGTGCTGTCAAGTCGCTTGCAACTCATAGTGACCTATCTACAACAGCCCTAAACCCTGCTCTATCCTTCGCCAATCACACTGCCTCTGACACACCCATCCCAATTACCCCTGAATCAATCCACCTCATAGAAGGTCTTCCCCTCCTGCGCTGTCCCTCGACCCTCCCAAGCATGATGTCCCCCTCCAAGAACATGTCCCTCCTTATGACATGTCCAAAGTATGTCAGACGAAACCCCAGAATCCTTGCCTCCAAGGAGCAGCCTGGTTTAAACCTCTCCAGGTCAAATCTGTTTGTTTTCTTGGCAGTCCATGGTACATTCAACACTCTTCTCCTGCACCACAGCTCAAAGGCATCAATTCTCCTTCTATCCTCTCTAGTCATTGTCCAACTCTCTGATGCATAAGAAGTGATTGCAAAGACCATGGCCTGTATCAGACGCACCTTAGTCTCCAGGGACACACCGTTGCTCTTGAGTACTTTAGAGAGGTCCCTAACAGCAGACTTCCCCATCGCGATATGTTTTTTGATTTCCTGGCTGCTGGTGCCAAGAGTGTTGACCGTGGAGCTGAGCAAACTGAAGCTGTGGACAATCTCAATCTCTTCGCCATCCATCCTGATGCTACCGATTGGTCCAGTGGTGAGAATATTAGTCTCCTTGACATTGAGCCTCAGTCCATACTGAAGGCTGCAGTCCTTGACCCTCTGCAGCAAGTGAATGAGGTCCTCCTCAGTTTCGGCAAGCAGGGTTGTGTCATCTGCATAACGCAGATTGTTAATAGAGCTTCCACAAATCCTGATGCCACATTTCTCCTCATAGAGCCCAGCCTCTCAGATAATCTGCTCTACATACAGGTTGAAAAGGTATGGAGATAGGACACATCCCTGGCGCACACCCTTCCCAATTTTGAACCATGCAGTGTTACCCTGCTCTGTTCTGATGACTGCCTCTTGGTCCAAGTATAGGTTTCACATTAGCATGATTAAATGTTCTAGGATTCCCATTCTTCTCAGAGTCAGCCAGTTTGTTATGAACCACGCAGTCAAATGCCTTTGCATAATCAATGAAACACAGATATACATTCTTCAGGTATTCCTCAGGTACAGCTACAATATCCCTAGTACCACGATTTATAGTATCTAAAAACTGCCGGAGGATCAGCTATGAGTCAGTTCTGACCTGATGACATATACTATCAACAACAACATTCATGAATGTGTAACACCTCTGAGCTTCTTTTCATATGAGTCGATATTTTCACAGAATATTATTTTATGTGAAATTAGAAAACAAATGGATAATTTAATAATATATGTTACAATTACTATTCTTTTCATTTTATGTACAAAATAAGCACAAAACTACATTTTCATTGCAGCTCCCTGTGGTGAAAACCTGTATGATGAGGACGGCAAGCGGCTCCCGCCCTGTATCCCAGGTGCCTGGCTCACCCCCGCCATCATGGCATGCTACCTGCTGGTAGCCAATATCTTGCTGGTGAACCTGCTGATTGCAGTTTTCAAGTACGTGCCAGATCTGATGGCCATGTGCTTGCTATTGCTTTACAGCTATTCAGGTTAATCTGAGAAATCTTCTACATTACCATCTTTTTGAACAATAATTTATCAGGGCTTTTAAAGGGAGCTGTGGTGGCTTAGTGCTAAGGAATTTGGCTGCCAACCCAAAGGTGTGTGGTTCAAATCCAGGTGGTCCCCAGGAAAAAAATGGGCATTCAACTCCTGTGTAATTAAGTATCCCTGAAAACTTGCTGGAGAGTCAGCTATGATTTAGTTCTCACTTGACGGTATACTACAACATTTAATGGATAGAATTTTTTTAAATTATTATT